TTGGCCCGAGCCAGCTGACCATGCTGTGATTTGAATCGAGGCTGGTTTCAAAAAGCAGGGTGCTGGGGGCTCAGGGCTTCAGTGCACTGGCCCACCCCAAAGTTTCCCTAGGGAAGGGAGGTGGGGTGGGGGTGCACAGCATGCGCCACTGGGAAAGACGCGGGTGCAGGGCCCTGTAGACTCTTCCAGGCTTCTACAGAATTCCCGGAGGTAAATGAGAAGAGCCAAGGTGCCCTGCAGTTTGTCAGATGGATCAGGGGAAGGGAGTATATCTACACTGCTGGCGGGAGTGTAACCCGCACACCCACTGTGCAAGTCATGTGGGGAGCTCTCAGAAAACTAGACCCAGAAAACAGGGACCCAGCATAGAGCATCGCACCGAAGGCTTTATTTTTATTTCTTACTTTCTTCAGAGCCTGTTTTTCCCTACCCTTCTGGGGTTTTCCCCACCACTTTTGATAAACGTAAAATGTTGTCACCATTAAAGAACAACCACCACCTTGAAGCTGAAATTCCATCTGAGCCAGCTCTTCCCCTCTAGGTGTCTTCCCTAAAGAGTGCAAGGCATCCTTTTTCAGTGACCATGCACACCCATGGCTATAGCAGCACACATCACGTAATAGCAGTCTGTGTGTCCCTCACAGATGAATGATAAAGAAAATGTGGTCCTTCCACACACTGGAGCACTGCCGTGCCCACGGAGAAGGAGAAACCCGAGCCATCCGTAGGAAAATGGGTGCGCCTCAAGCCCATGTGGGAAGTGACGTCGGACATAGGCTCAGACGCTGCATGCTTGGCCTGAGGACTCTGTAACTCTGCCACCAAGCCAAGGAAGCTAGGGATATTTATTTTTGTAAACCAATGTTACTGTTTAACTGTGTGTTTGCCTTTCTTGGTGTGGGAAGCCATCAGTCGCAGTTGTCACTGTCACAGGCACTGTAACGGCCACTGGGCACCTGCCCCACCTCTCCTCTCCGCAATCCAACCAGCTCCGGGTGCTGACTGACACATGGAGTTTGTTGCTGTTCATGACCAAGCCATTCTCTCCTAAATAAGCACATTTCCTGTTCCCCTCTTTTGTGCGGGGTGGCTAGATGTCTCTAAGTGGCATTGAGCAAAAGAATAGTCCCGACCACGGCACCACTTCATCTAAATAAGTTTTAGGAGCCGGGTTCTGTCCCCTTGGACTCTGCCTTTAGGGATGCCCAGGCATTTCCAGGCTCTGCTCCCCACCTCCCCACCAGCTAAGCAGGGTACGCAGCTGAGGGGCCATGGGCAGCGGTGAAGATGAGCAAGCTGATTCGCACAGGGCAGAAATGACAGCCAGGCTGGCCTCTTGGCCTAATCTCAGAGCAGCTCCCGGGGTGGGAGAGGCAGCAATGGTGTGGGGTGCAGAGTGGGGCTGCGGTCAGAGCCTGACAGTGACTGTTAGGATGCTGAAGTGTGGGACGCTAAGGACATGCTAGGCATTGCGGTGACCCAGTACTCAACCCCCTGCATGGCTTAGGCTGCTCATCCTCCCCACTGCAGCCGAGGTGGGGGCAGAGGCACGGATGGCTGGTGCGCATGAGAAGTGCACCAAGGAGACCGTGTGAGGCAAACCCTGAGCGCTGAAGGACTTGAAAGTGTTGGCTTCCCGAGGATCCAGTGGGTTGTGGCCCGCAGGCAGCCTCTCGGCACTGGGCAAAGGCACCTTAATCCGATTGGCGCAGCCTCTTCGGCTGCCCCCGACCCCGTGTGGCTCGTGCCTCTAGGGAATTAGACACCAGCTGAACCATTGTCCTTCTACTAATACGGCAATTTAATACCTCACCTGATAACACAATAAGCACCTAGATATTTTGAATATACAGTTACCAACAATGCTGGCCAAAATCCACGGAAAGCAGAAAGGCTTTCAGTGACAGCGTGACTGGTTTAACACTGGCGTCAGGGCCTCAGTAAAAATGATTCCCCCTTGACCCATTCATCTTTCTTGCTGTCCACTTCCCCCCAAAGGGTCTCTTAGTGTTTTTCCTCCTGTCCTGGCACTGAACACTATTTTACTTACTGATTTAAAATAAGAAAGATGGAGCAGAATACCTGTTTAGGAGCCAGAATGTCCCGAATGTAACTTAGGGAAATCCGTCCCTGGAATCACGGTGGGGGAGCTAGAGCTTTGAGTTTAAATCTCTGTGTCTTAGCACCAGCTTCATTGTTGAGACTCAATACCTGATGCCCACAATTTAAAGGAGGAGAGGTTTACTTTGGCTCACAGTTTGTGTAGGTTTCAATCCGTAATTAACAGTGGCACAGAGGAGCCTGGCGCACCTGAAGCAGAGACAGGGGTGGGGGTGGATCCTTCCAGGCCACGCTGCAGACCCACTTCCTCTAATCAGGCTCCACCTCTAGCATCAAACGCAGCAGTGGAGTAATCCATGATGAGCTTTGTGCCCCCACGATCCGGTCACCCCCAAAAGCCCCACTTCTGAGCAGATGAGTCTTAGGGGAGGTCCTCAGATAGAAACCCTAACAGCACAGTGTAGACAAGGTAGCTCCCTGTAGGGCTGTCATAACCAAGTGCTACAGACTGCACTGCACGGCTGACTACAGAAATGCATTTGCACAAGGTCCTGGAGGCTGGATGTCAAAGCTCAGGGCACTGGCAGGCTGATTTACTTGGAGGCCTCTGTCCTACTTGATACTGTGTCCTCTGAGTTTTCCCCTGGTGCTCTTAATGCACACCTGCTGTTGTGATTTGTGTTCAGGTGGCATCCAAAGTCCCACTCAGTCATAGGTGGGGCTTTTTCAGAGGTGGCTGGATCTAGAGGGTGTGACTCTGGAGTTGAATCACGGTGTAGTCAAGGGCACTATGATTAAGGTTTTGAATGCTCTCTGTCCTGAGCAGCCTGGATAAGATATATGGGACCGAAAGAGCTGTGGTCATCCCTTGTTGCTTTGTTCCTTTCTGCCCAACATGCACTGTTTCTCCTCTGAGAAGCCCCTCTGCCAGGCCACCCTGCCTTGGTGCCAGCCAGCTGTGAACTGAAACCTCTCCAAACTGTGAGCAAATAAAGCTTTCCCTGAACTAGTGAATCTTGGGTATTTTGTCTCAGCAATGAGAACAGTAACTTAGACACCTGCCATATGAGACTCAGCCACCTGTGTTACCTCTCTCCTACTTCCTGAGCATAGTCAGATGCTACAGTACCGGGGCTTAGTCCTCCAGCACAGAAACAAGGTTGAGGAGACCCTGCTCGGATCCCCAGGAAGACACTGTAGATGGAGCACAGCTTGCGGAACACACAAGGGAGTCCGGGGGCTCCGTGGGAGAAATCATTAGCTCGCTGGTGGCTTGGAGTTGTATGTGTTGATGAACTGTCAGTTTTAGAATACATGAAGTGTGCTGGGGTGGGGAATGGGGTGCATCGAGGCGGGGCCAGGAGCTGAAAATAACTCCACAGAAATATGTTATAAGAGTCTGAGAACTGACTGAACTTTAGCACGTCCTGCTGGAATCTCTTGTGTATGGGAAAAATAAAACAGTTCATGGAATAAACAGAGAGCTCGCCCTGTCTCCGCCACCCTTTTAAGGACAGCCAGATGTTCCCAATTTTAGTGGTGGCCAAGGATAAAGAAAATTTAGTCCAACCTAGACAGTGCTGCAGCTACAAAACCCAGGAGAGGCCACAGAAGACAGAGGGGAGCAACCTGGAGCTGCAGTTGGGGGGCACAGGGAGGACTCTGCCTCTGACTTTGCAGCCTGCACTTGAATCTCAGCATCACAACCCGGACAGTTCAGGTTTGGTAAGGGCCCACCCAGTGCTAACACTGCTGCCTCTCAACTCCCAGCTTTTACTTGATAACCGCTGTTTAACCTACCAAACAGCATTCTGAGGCCCTGTTCCCTACCCCAGGGCCAGGGTCTGCGTGCCATTTTCCTATACCATTAGCTGGGCATTTTCAATAAGAGAAACAAACAGTAGCAAACTCTGCCACTCTTGAGATAGGAAAAATACGGAAAATGTTTATGTCATTTCCTTATCTTCCTCTGGTATCCCGAGAGTTGAGTTCTAAATACAAGCCAGAGTTGAATTATAACACAAAATGAAAATGCAGTATATCCTGTGGAATTGGAAATGACAATGTTAACACAGTTTAAACGTTGAACTATTCATCTGACAGTAGGCTTCCCTTGTGTCTACCATGTAAAATAAATGATTAGATCATAAGAATAGAAAATGCCGTGTACAGTTTAGATGCTGATGGATTTTCCTAAACTATATGTTCTCAAAATAAAGAGGATCACGAAAAAATCAGAGGATATTTTCTTTAGTTTCCATTTTTATGCAGCAATGGGGTCGTATCTAAGAGATCATTGGGGAAGAATATTTGTAATTTTTGTATTTGTAATTTTTTTTCCAAAAATTACTTTTCTTTCCTTCTTGGGGCTCACTATGTAGCCCAGGCTGGCCTTAAATCGCAGTGATCCTCCTGCCTCAGTCTCCTGAGTGCTGAGATTACAGGCGTGAGCCCCAACACTCAGCTTCCAACTACTGATAAAATTTGCATATTTATAAATAAACTTGCCAAGCAGATTTTTGTTTCTCTACTGCCGTTTTTTTATCCAGGTCATGCGAAGAAAGGAGCCCTGAGAGCCAGAACTTTTGCAAATGGGAAGGGGGCCAAGACGGCGCGAGGAGGAAAGGGGGTGAGGAAGCAGGACGCGTGCACCGGAACCAAGACACAAGGATAACAACTTTAAAAAGAGAAACGCACAGTGGCCCCCAGCTGGAAGCGTTGCTGCCTTAGGCACTCGCGGGCCCGGAAACATCAACTGCTACGTCAGGGTGACCCTAAGATGGGTGCAGCCCGGGACTTAGGCTCAGGCGGCTCCCCCTCCCCAAGACTCCACTAGTGTCAGCGACTCGCCGGCGCCGCAGGTCATAGGGGCGGAGAAGTCAGGAGCAGCCAATCGGGGGCCCCGGCCCCGCCCCCGGACCAGGCCCCGCCCCTGCCCAGGCCCCGCCCCGTGGGTCGAGTGCGCGCGCGTCCCTTCTGCATCCAGCCGAAGTTCCGCGGAGTCCCCGGGTCCGGCAGTGTCCCCAGCCCCGGCAGAGCATGTCCGCCCCGGGGACCTCGTCCGGCCCCGCCGTGGACGCGCCCAGGGCCCCGCAGTCCCCGTGCGCACTGCTGCTGCTGCTGTTGCTGCTGCTCTGCGCCCTGGGCGCGCTGCTGGGCCGCGGCTGGCTGCGGGGGCGCGGGGCACGCAGGCCCCCCCCAGGACCCGCGCCCTGGCCACTCGTGGGTATCCTGGGCGACACGCTCCTGTCGCTCCTCCTACGCCGCGGCAGGCCGGGCCCTGCGAGGAGCAGCGCGGCCTTGCAGGTGAAGCTGGCCGAGCTGGCGCGCCAGTACGGCAGCGTCTTCAGCATCTTCGTGGGCCCCCAGCGCGTCGTGGTGCTCAACGACTTCCGCAGCGTGCGCCAGGCGCTGGTGCAGCAGGCTGAGGTCTTCAGCGACCGCCCGCGGATGCCGCTCCTCTCTATCGTCACCCAGGAGAAGGGTGAGCCGGGTGGCAGCTCCCGCACCACCGCCATGCGCCCGCCCCTGCACTGGCACCGACTCGCACTTGCACCTGCACCTGCAAATGCACCTCAGGCATGGGCCTCCGCTTCTCTGGGGCCTCAGGAACCAGTGGGACTTACCGCGATCTGCATAGGAAAACCTCAGGGAAACTGAGGGCAGGAAGCAGGGAGGAGGCGAGGACGCGGGGTGTGGGATTGGGCTCTGGCCTTCAGAGGTGACCCTTCTTCCCCGGAGGCCTCGACTTCCATCTCTGACGCGGTGCCTGGCTAGATTGAGTGCCAGAGCTGAGTTACTACCCTGTCCCGAAGGCCTTGGGCCTCAGCAGCTGCGCAGAAAGAACGCAGTGCCCGCTTCCCAGGGCTCTGCCTCCTCCTGTGCCCTCTGTTAGCAGCTCCGGCTGACCACTGGCTCCAGGCCCTGTTCACCTCCAGGCTGCCGGGTGTTGGCATCACTGCCAGGCCCAGTGGTTCAGGCTAAAGTGCCAGGGCTTCACCGCTGCACACCTGGCTCCCTGGCTTACCAGGCATTGCCTGGTTTTGTGTCTTTGGGCTCAGAAATGGGTCTTAACCCATGGCGCGTGGAGCAGGATGGAGCAGCTGCGTCCCAGAGCCCAGGAGCTCCACAGGTGCTGCTTCAGTAGATGAATAGTTGCTTCTTGCTCTGGAAGGAAGGTCTGGCTGCCTTGGAATCGGAGCCAGAGGTTTGCCTTCAGGTTCTACAGGAGCCTTAGTGACAGTCGGAATCCTTTCAGGCTGCCTTGCAGAACGAGTCCGGCAGCAGCCCACACCTCATCCTGTGCTCACCTCCTCTGCCCTGCTTCTGCTTGGAATTCTGTGATCTCAGGCTGCAGGGAGAGTCCTGCCTGCCTTCCTGTCTACTGGTTGCTTGACTGATTGATTGAGACAGGCTGTCACTTGAGGTCAGAGTGGCATATTTTTAGGGTCCTTTTCTGTAAACCAGTGTAAATGACTCTTTGGGGAAAGCACAAGAACTGCAGTTCAGTAATTAGGCTGTTTTTTTAAAAAAGAATTTCTCAGGTACACACAATAGAAATGCAAAAACTTGAAGACAAATGACAAACATTAATGCCTAGTCACCAGTTAAGAACGTTTTTGTAATGAAGCAAGATTGTCTCTTACTTGTAAGAGGAACATGGTTCTTGCCAGCTAAATGATTATAAGCAGCATACAAGGTAGCAATTTAGAAAAACAGTTTAGTTACCTTTACAGCACATTAAGATAATGATTATGGGCTTGGAGTGGCACATGCCTCCAAGAGGCTCAGGAGGCTGAGGCAGAGGATTGCTGTGGGTTTGAGGCCAGTCTGGGATACAAAGTAAGTTGAAGGCCAGCCTGAACTATACAGTGAAACCCTGTCTCAAAAAGACCAAAAAACAAACTCATTGTTGACTGCATTACACCAGGACAATTAGACTCTTGAAATAAGGCGTGTTGCTTCTAATGATAGTTTATCAAAAGTATAAAATAAAACTTTATATGAAAAAGACTTTGAAATGTCTGGAGCCTAAGCATTTCAATAGCAAGTTGTAAACAGCACTTCACTGTAGCCTTCAAAATTCAGGTATGTCTGTACCTTAGTCTGTGTCTACACTGCTGTGTCCTATCTTGTGTTTCTAAGCCTGTGTTGACCAACTGAGGTTTATTTGTAGTCTCAACAGGCTAAACATGTCACATTAAATGTAGACACTGCATATTAACCCAGAAGATAAAATATTTGGGGGTACGCAAAGCCCGAAGACTTTTCTTTCCCTGAAGTTGCAAGACTTTTCCAAGAAAAAGATTTTAAAAAGCACATTCTACATACTTATTCAAGAAATAGATAGAAACCGTAGCTGTTTTATTGCAAGCTGATCTTTTTAGCTATTAGCTTAAAGCTATTAGCATGAGGACACAAACACCCAGGTCAGTCAGCAAAATAAAAGATGGTTTTTCATGCCATTACTTATGTGTGAAATGAGTTGCCCTTATACAGAGTGGATTTAGGATTGCGGTGGGACAGGAAAAATAAAAGACGGGGAAGGGAGACAAGGGGAATCCTGATTTTAACCCTAAAAAGACCTGCAGCAGCTTTAGGATGCGGAGTTCCCAGGGTTTCAGTGCCCTTTTCCCTTTTCAGTGAATTCAGAAAAGTGCTCTCATGTTGCACACTGAAACCCGCCGCTGTCCATTTTACCAGCAGATACTGCCAAATGTATTAGCATCCCAGTAATTCTCCTCATCTAAGGAGGCCGGATGGCATGTGCAGGAGTTGGCACTGAATCCCAGACTTTTTAGTGTCCTGTCTGCTGAGCCTGGTGGTCCCTCTGTGCCCAGGCATGGTGTGAGGGAAAGAGATGCACACGTGTGCTTCCTGTTAGCATCACTCGCAGGGTCCTCTCGCCTTCATTTTTTAACTTTATTTTCTTTTTTTGAGACAAGGTCTCGCTATGTAGTTCAGGCTGGTCTTGAAGTCCCGGTCATCCTGACTCAGCCTCCTGAGTCTACAATCACAGGCAAGCGCTCCCACGCTTGGCTCACCTCCTTTCTTGCTGTCCTTCCACAGGGCTCGTGTTCGCACCCTACGGCCCCGTCTGGCGACAGCAGAGGAAATTCTCGCATGCCACTCTCCGGCACTTCGGCTTGGGCAAGCTGAGCTTGGAGCCCAGGATCATCGAGGAGCTCACCTTCGTGAAGCAGGAGATACAGAGGCACGGGGACGCCCCCTTCAGCCCGGTCCCCATCATCAGCAATGCCGTCTCCAACGTCATCTGTTCCCTGTGCTTCGGCCGGCGCTTTGACTACACAGACAGGGAGTTTAAGAAGCTGCTGGACTTGATGTCGCGAGGCTTGGAGATCTGTCTCAGCAGCCAGCTGATGCTGGTCAACGTGTGCCCCTGGTTTTACTACCTCCCCTTTGGGCCCTTCAGGGAGGTGCGGCAGATCCAGGGGGACATCACCGTCTTCCTGAAGCAGATCATCCGGGACCATCGTGAAGCCCTGGACACTGAGAACCCCCGGGACTTCATAGACATGTACCTGCTGCACGCCCAGGAGGAGCGCGCGCGGGACGGCGGCAGCAGCTTCAGCGAGGACTACCTCTTCTACATCATCGGGGACCTCTTCATCGCCGGCACTGACACCACCACCAACTCCTTGCTTTGGTCCCTGCTGTACATGTCCCTGCACCTTGATGTCCAAGGTAACTAGCAGGCAAGCGCCGGTGTATGGCACAGCCGGGTCATTTAGAGCAGGATCAGCGACTTCAGGAACCTGTGGTGCCCAGCACTCAGCTGTCTTCAGCTGCACAAGCAAATAGGTGTTTGCGTCTTGTGGGGAGCTGGGAAGGCGCTACCTGTGAAACCTGTCATTTCTAGAGAGATGGGGACTCGTGTCCTGTCTTGATCCTCCCCCTGCTTTGATTTCTGCATGTCTGATTCTCTGTGAATCAATGGTGGGGAGAGACAGTTAGAGAAACAGGACACCTGCCGGGTGTGGGGGTGCATGCCTGTGATCCTAGCACTTGGGAGGCTGAGGCAGGAGGATCACTGAATTCAAGGCCAGCCTGGGTTGCATAAGCAAGTTCAAGGCTAGCCTGTGCTACATAGGAAGACCCAGTCTCAAAGCAAAACATATGCCTCCCCCGCTCAAAAAAAAAGCAAAAAAGAAGCAGAACACCTTAGAGGTAAACCCTAATACTTATGTGCACCCATTTTTATCTTGCTCAGGACATGGAGAATAGAAGCACAGGTCACTGTCCAGGGCAGTAAGGGAGAGGTGTGTCCATTTCCATTGCCACCACAGCAGAGTCCAGGGCATAGCGAACCCATGCAGCACGCCCGGCGTCAGAGGCCTGGCCTGTGTCTCTGGGGCCGGCAGGATGAGTGCTTTTCTGGAGCTCCAGGGAGCCCTGCTTCCGTGCCATCCACAGGCCTTGGCTTGTGGGCCCCTCCAGTCCTTAGGGCCAGTGCTGCCCACTTCTCAGGCCATCCCCTCAGGCTCCGAACTCACCTGGGTGTAGAGAGTACCCCTGTGGCAGTGACAGATTCCGAGAAATGTGTTGGCAGGTGATGTTGTCACTGCATGCGTGTCAAACTGTAAACTAGTTTGGTTGCAGGGTCTCTAGACCAGCAGAGCATAGGAGGCCACTGTTGTGGATGGGCTGTTCGCCACGAAATGTCCCTCTGTGACACTGTGGCATGTGACTGTACTCAGCTTGGTACAGGCGCACCACTGTAGGCCCTTGTCACATGCCGGGGCTGGGACATACACACGGGAGCTCAAGCTCTGACATAGCGGAGATGGTGACTGGGTGGGCCCTGTCACAGGTTGCTCCGCTTAGACCCCGCTTAGTTCCCAGAGGAGCATGGCAGTGGCCTTAGCTCTGAGGTATCCTGGCAGGCTCAGGTGCTGCCGGCTGATCTCCAGCTGCAGGTGTAGTGGGCGCAGTGCCTGGTGGCAGGGGGACAGCTCACTGGGGTTGTGCCCGGCCCTTTCTCCCCCAGAGCCAGGCCTGCTGCTGCTTAGTTTCCGAGGTGGACGGCTTGAGGCGCTTTTTGGGTGGTGTGGGTGCGGGTGGGCATGGCCCCTTTCACTCAGCCTCTCAGGGGAGTCACTTTGCTCTGCTGTGCACACTGCCATGTGCCACCCCCTGCCATAGACCTTGAGTGACAGGGCCAGCAGGCCGTGGACTAACCTTGACTTCCAAGTCCCCTGCCTCAGGACTCTGGCTTGGTGGGGACTCTAGGGCCGAGAGTTACTGTAGGAGGAGTGAGGGTGGCACGGGTCCCTCTGGCTTCCTAGGGGCTATCACCAAGAGCTGGACAGACAGGGCTGCCTGAGCTGGACTTCCAGCCCCACTCCATCTGCCAAAGCAGCCTCTTGTCCCTGTTCTGCATCGTGCAAGGAATCGAATTTACAAGGGGCTTAAGGTGTGCACATCTTGGAGATGCCGTCAGTCTCCGTGGGTGGCCCTGGGCCATCTGTTAATGATGCCAGATGACAGATCATCCAACATTTAACAGCTGAAGACACCACTGCTTGTTACCTAACGTGGTTTCGGAGGCCCGGAGTGGCTCCACCTAGATGATTCTAGTTTGGGGTTTCTTGAGCAATTAGAGTCAAGACGTTGACTGGTTCGCAGTCATCTGTAGGCTTGGCTGAGATGCAGGGACCCACTGCCAAGCTGGCTGCCACGTACTGTTGGTCGCAGGCCACATTTCCTTTCACTCTGACCCGCTCAGGGGCCGCTTGACTTGGTGGCCACCTTCCCCCAGAGTGAGTGATTCAGGAGAATGAATACAAAGAGGAGAGCCAGGAATCTCAGAAGTGACGTGGCATTACTTTGCCCTTTGTCATGGGACAGAGGGAGAGGGGAATGCACAGGGAAGCAGTCCTGTGTTGGTCAGCTGTCCACCACTGTAATGGAAGACCCCGGGCGATCACCGTCAAGAGGGACTTCCCATTCTGGCTCACGGTGTTGCCTATTCAAGGTAGCATGTCATGCCTGGGCCATGAGACAGAACAAAGCTCTGCTTGTGCCCAGGATACAAAGAGAGAAAGAAAAAGCCTCTCCTTGTCCTTTCTACCACTTTATTTATTGATTGATTGATTGTCTTTTTGAGACAGGGTCTCACTATGCAGTCCAGGCTGGCCTTGAACTCACTTTGTAGCCCAGGCCACTCTCGAACTTGCAGAGATCCTCCTGCTTCAGCCTCCCAAATGCTAGGATTACAGGCATGTGCCACCATGCCTGGTTTCTACGACTTTTAATAGTACCACTTGGAACAAGCCTTTAGCATGCATGCACACACATACACGTGAGCCCCGAGAACTTTCCAGATCTAAGCTATAGCCAATCCCATGAGCAAGGGTCACGGGCGATCTCAGAATGCCATGTACCATCCATTCCCCTCAGCTGGGAGCCTCAGCCGCTCATTCCCATGCAGGTGATTCGGGCCCTCCTCCAGTGCTCCCTCTTCTGCCTGAGGCCCTGTCTCTTGCCCTTTGTCCACATCCTGGTGGCACAGGCCCTAGAGCTGCTATCCTGTTTGGCACATGTGACCCACACTCTGGGCCTGGTGCTGCCAGGCCGTTGGCACAGAAGGGTAAATCGAAAGTGGACCTGGGGTGCACAAGCAGTCCCCTGCAAGGTGAATCTTACAGTGCCCTCTTTCCTCTCACACAGAAAAGGTCTATGAAGAAATCAAGACGGTTGTCGGCCTGACCCGCCCCCCGTCCCTCACTGACAAGGCCCGGATGCCCTACACGGAGGCCACCATCATGGAGGTGCAGAGGCTGGCGGCGGTGGTGCCCCTGGCCATTCCACACATGACCTCGGAGGAGACTGGTGAGGCAGGCTTCGCCCTGTTATGCCACAGGGGAGCACTCAGGCGGGTGGGGCCCCTGTCACAGATGCTGAAGTGGCCCGGGGCTGTTTTGGTGGGCACCTGTCTGCTGCTCGGCAAATCACTGAGCCAGGACCCCTTTTCCTGATGGCGCGGCAAGGTGTACATACTTGTCCTTCTGTGCAAGTAACACAGTCATCTTTTATTTCAGCTTGTTTCATTTTCCATTTGGTTTGGTGAGACAGGATCTAGCTGTGTAATTCAGGATGGCCTTAAACTCACAAAGTAGCCCAGGCTGGTGCAAACTCACAGCGCCCTGCTGTGGCAGCCTGAGTGCTGAGATTACAGGCCAGCACCCCCCACCTGACACCAGGGCCAGACAGACAGCAGCTGTGTTGCAGTGTTCACAGGGGTGCCCTTGGCCCATCTCGTGGCCATCAGAAGAGCCAGTCTAACTGGAATGAAGGCGTTGCAGTAGAAATTACCCTGCCCCAGTTTTTAAATCCCGCCTCTGAGCCTGGCACTGTGGCACACGCCTATCATTCCAAGACATGGGAGGCTGAGGCAGGAGGATTGCTGCGCGTTTGAGGCCAGCCTGGGCTACACAGTGTGACCCTGTCTCAAAAAAAACCAAAACTCAAAACAACAACAACAAAAATTGTGCCACCAAAGCATAAATATTGCAGAATTAGAAGGAGCCAGTCTCATTTTTTTTTTTTAATTTTTTTTGGTCGTTTTCCTTTTTATTGGTACCGGGGATTGAACTCACAAATGCCTGCTTGCAAGGCAGGTGCTTATGCCGCTGAGCTAAATCTCCAGCCCCGCAAGTCTCATTCTTGAAACCTGCTGAGCAGATCTCGTCCAGATTTTTCAAATCCCCAACTGGAAGGCATCACCCTCTGCAGAGATGACTCTCACGTGATCCTCTTGAAGGACACAGGATCCCTGAGGTCCCTGGTGTCAGCTGAGTGAGAGGCAGGACTGACTTCCTTCTGTCTTTATTTTTAGTTCCTCTGCCTCAGTGTCTCATGGTGCAGACAACTCTGTTACACTTTGCCTAAGTCATAGGGTGTGTAATTCTTAGCTGGCTTAAAAGGCCTATTATGTTTGCTTTGGTGTTTTCCTGTTTTTATGGTTTGTTGACTCCCTCCATTAGCTTGCATCAGAGCACCTGTTGCAGGCTGGGCCCTGGGATGCTGCCAAGGGGACCAGGGCGCCAGGTGCTAAGGTCATATCCCGGCCTCCAAGGCCATGAGTTGAGCCGCTAAGTAGAACACTAGATTCACACCCCTCTCTCATGTGCCCCCCGCAGGCAGCAAAATGAATGACACTGTGTCTGTTTGCCTCAGAGTTCCAAGGCTACACCATCCCCAAGGGCACGGTGATCCTGCCCAACTTATGGGCTGTGCACAGAGATCCTGTCCTCTGGGAGAGACCTGATGAATTCTGCCCCAGTCGATTTCTGGATGACCAAGGACAACTTTTAAAAACAGAAGCCTTTATTCCTTTTGGGATAGGTCAGTAAAACCTGTATATTTTCCTTAATGTCATTTTAAAAACAGAAGCAAAAGTATAGGGGGGTGCCACACAGTGCTAGAGTGCTCGTCTGGCCTGGGCCAGGCCCTGAGTTTGGCCTTAGCGTGCACCAGAAGGAAAATCAAAGGCAGAACTCAAAGAGTCACTTCTTACTCCAAGGTACAGTAAGGATGTTTCTTTATTGGAAGAGATGAAAAACTCAGGTAACGCGTTTCTGCTGTGTTAGAAACTGCATTCAGTGCTTAGAACAGGAGAAGGGCTGGGCATAGGATTCAGTGCTAAAGTGTTTGCCTAGTATGTTCAATCCCCAGCACTGAGACAGACAGACAGACAGACAGGGACAGACCGAGATAGAGACAGGAAGAAATATGACTAGACATTGTCCTTTCTGGGCTACCTGGATTCTGGTGGGTCCTGGCCCACTGCTTGGCCAGTGGGGCGGGGCTCGAGTCACAGCTGTCCCTCTTTTAGGCTCCTACTTTGGGACCAAGGGGCGGCTCTTTGGGTGAAGGAAGGCTCCAGAGATTCCGACTTCCCCTCCTCAGGCCGCCAGGTCACAGCCAGAGAAAGAGATAAGCAGGCAAGGACCAGATGGGGTCCTGTCACCTGGACCAATTTGTGGTCTCTGCCCAGAGGAGGACAAGTTTTTAGAGGCAGCAGTGGACATGGGAACTTGGTGTGGAAAAATTCTGTCACACTCTGCAGGAGGCTGTGGTTTATGCTGTAATGCTAAAACTATTATCTGCATTTAAAACACCCAATTTAGGTCAGTTCGGTATGGGTTATAAAGTTCTACCTCTGGCGGGTGTGGTGGTGCACACCTGTAATCCCAGCACTCAGAGGCTGAGGCAGGAGGAGTGCCATGAGTTCGAGGCCGGCCTGGGCTACATAGTGAGTTCAAGGTCAGCCTGGACTACATTGTGAGATCCTGTTTAAAAAAAAAAAAAGGCATTTGTGCTTTCTGAATGCACAGCGGGCCGGTCTTGCTGTCCCCACAGGGAAGCGGGTGTGCATGGGCGAGCAGCTGGCCAAGATGGAGCTGTTCCTGATGTTTGTGAGCCTGCTACAGAGCTTCGCCTTGGCACTGCCTGAGGACGCTGAGCCGCCCCTGCTCACCGGGAGGTTTGGCCTCACTTCTGCCCCTCACCCGTTCAAAGTTGTCATTTCAAAGAGATGACGAAGACACTGGATGCCCCAAGAAGCAGGGGCAGGACCCCTCGATGAGCGTCCTGTAGATTCTTCTGCTGTTGCTGGCAGCCGCCCGGCAGCCTGGCTGATGCTGGCTGGGCGTAGACCGCAGAGCCAGGGGGAATGAGGGGAGACTGTGCTTCCCAGCAGGACACCTGAGCACCCCGGCTGCAGGGCGGTGCCTTCCAGGTCCCCAGGTGCCAGCATTGTGGGCAGTGGCTTCCGCCATGAGCTGTCTCTTCCTCCTCCAGCCTCTGTCCTTGCAGGGCATAATGAGACTTGGGACTGGCTGCTGCCCCAAGACCCTCAGGCATGTCACCAAGGTGTCCTCCTGTGCTGGAGACAATGCCTGCTGGCTTTCTCAGACCTCTGCCTCCGCAAAGGCGGTGTCGGCAGCCTGCATGAGGCCTGAGGTCCCACTGAGGCAGATCTTCATTTTTAAAGCTCAGGTTCTGTGTCCCTTCTTTGGGCGTGGTCCATTGTAATACCTTTTGTGTGTGATTTTTTTTGAGTTTTTGTAGACAGAGAATGAAGTGGACCCTTGTCCAGGCATTGCAGGAAGGAACCGGGACTTCCAAACTCCTGCATGTGAGCCTGTCTCCTGGGATCTGCACACCACGGCTGTATGTGACCACAAATGGTCGCAGACAGGCCACTTCTTGTCCTCTGTGAGAACTTTGCTTTTCCTGATGATGAGGCCCCACGGAGGACAGCTCTCCATCCTAGCCCTCTCCCTCCTGGGCTGTCTGGAGCCAGGGCGTAGTGGTGGCTAGGCTGGGGGCAGGAAGTGTCACTATGCCCTGCAGGATGTCCCTCTTCCCCAGGCAGGACAGTGGGGTGCTGCCTCTCCGAGGGCCTGCTGCCCTGCACACAGGGAGGCCAAGACGGTGCTGGGAGCCTCCCCCACCTCCTGCCCCACGCCCTGGGTGTCTGTGATACCACACGACAGACTTAGGGACACTAAGGCACAGCGTGACAGGTGCCACCTCTGGGTCAGACGCTGGGCTGCACCACTTCTCGGGGCTGCCACCACTTGGTCTCCAGCAAGTCCCCACCGGCCCTCCTCCTCCTGACAGGCTCCTCTCGGGGAGGCAGTGCTACCTGTCAGTACCTGCTTGATGTGGGAGTAACTTTCAGTGACAGTGCTTAAGGAAAGTTCCACTCCACTTCTCTTTTTCTGTTTTTGGAAGACAGCTTTGCTGTGTAGTCCCGACTGACCTTGAACTCAGTGTGGATCCTCCTGCCTCAGCCTCCTAAGTGCTGGGATGATGGGTGTGTGCCTCTACCCCATTTCAGTATGACCTATGGGCAGTATTTTTCTTGCTTCAGGTGACTTTTTAAAATCAGTATATATTGTTGTCAGTTTAAGCCAAATTTTTAAAAATTGCTAGGTTTCTGTTCATTTTCAAAACCACTTTAAGCTTAAAATGATGCCTTAGCCGTGAAGGGCTCACAAGGGCAGTGCCCAGCAGCCAGGCCTGGCCACATGCAGGCTCCCTGTTTCCTAACCTCTGTGCTGCTCCTGCTGGGGAAGAGGGGAGAACAGATCCAGAGAGGTGGCGACTTCGGATGAAAACCCGGGAGGCTGGACTGGAGCACCTGGGGTGGAGAGGCCGCCTGCAGCTGAGGCTTCTAGCTGCTTCCAGATGGGGCAGACCCAGATCTCCCAGCCCACCCTGGCTCCTCCCTAACACCCCGCAGCTGGGGCGTTCTGGGGTCAGAGTAGAGCTTTCCTTTGATCAGCGCATTGCTGGGGAGACCCCTTCCTGCTCACGGAGTGGAAATGACAGGGGCTTAACGGAAACCCAAGAGAGGGAGGGAGGAAGGAAGGAAGGAAGGAAGGAAGGAAGGAAGGAAGGAAGGAAGGAAGATGGGGTCAGCTTTCGCTTTGTCTGGCTCTACAGTCTCCACACTGTTTCCCACTTTCCCTTCTTGTGACTATAATTAAGTACTTATCATATAGGTACACAACACAGGCTAATCTTTAGGTCTTTATGTGCCTTGAAGATTTTGTTTTTTAAAGAAGAAATGCACAGAGGAAGTGAGCAAAATGGAGAGGCTGCCAGACTGCAGAGGGGATCCCAGAGTGGATGGTGTCTCCCCTCTCTCAGGACAGTCTGCTCCGGACTGGAAATGCCTGTGCTTTCCAATCACGCTCGTAACTCAGCGTTAACAGTTTCTTATTCTCACTTATACATGGATTTCCAGTATTTCTAACCAAAGAGTTTGTAGCTTACTTGAAAAGAACCTTGAGAACTTGAAATAAAGAACTTTAAGATTATGTCAGAATCACAACGCCTCAAACTGTAGCACTTTTAAAAGATCTATTACTGTTGATGCTTGTCTTGCAGATACTGACATTTTACAATTTTTGCACTTCATGGTTTATCTGAAATATAAAAATAATTGTTCCTTGTTTTATAAATCTGCCTAACATCTTTGAGTCCTCACCTTTATCAAAGTTTTTGATACTTTTAGTAAACTTTTTATTTTAATGGAGATAGTGCCATCTTTGGTTTTTTTTAATCTAACTGGCAAATAAAATTCTGTCATATCAAATATCAAGTAGTAACACAGAGGAAGAAAGAAACAAAGAAACAGTCTCCCGAAGAGAGAGGGCCACGCTGTGGCCCGGGCATGGTCATGAGACCAGAGGCCTGCTCTGTGTAAAATACGCTCTGTGGCCACATCACAGGCACAAAGACGTGGCAGGCCCCGGGTTCAGATTTCCTACAGCCCAGCACTATTTAGAGAAGCATGAATCTCACGCCGCCTGTGACCCCACATTGAGGACTCGTCCCTGAGGCCCTCCAGGGACCCCACAGCTACCAATATAATCACTGGGGAAGACAGAAAGCTTCTCAAGGTTTAGCTTAGGACAAGAAGCCCACCATCACCATCTCTGTTACCAGATTCCCCCAAGGCTCACCCAAAAAGCCTGGCGAGAAATAAAAATGTCCACTCCGGAAGCAAGCAAAATGATCTCTCTCAGTCTGTGGGTGACATGACCATGTGTATAAAAACCCTGAAGGCCAGCAAGAACACTGTTAAACAAATTTAGTAATATTCTGGGATACAGAATCAACATACAAACCTGGTGTTTATACATAGTATAGCTATCCAAAAAAAAATTTTTTTTAATGAGGTATTGGAACTGGAAGCTATCCAAAAAATGAATACAAACCCATTTTAAACAACTCCATTTAGATGAATAACAAAAAGACTAAAACATGAATAAACCAAAGAGGTAAAAGACTTTAATACTGAAAGTTATAAAACATCAGTGAAGGAAATTAAAGACACTAAAAAGATATCCCATGTTCATGGATGGTAAGAATAGTAAAATATTTCCCATGTGAATGTATTTATTATGTATTGCAAACATGTATTAACAACAATAAAACAATCATAGTCTACAAAGTGATCACAATTCAATGCAACTCTAACAAAATCCTGATGGCATTCTATACAAGTACAGACAAATTCTAAAACGCATGGAACTGGAGCAGATCCCAAATAGTAAAAGCAGTCTGGAGTAAGAATGATAAGTCTGGGGCTGGGGATTTAGCTCAGCGGCATAAGCGCCTGCCTTGCAAGCAGGCAGTCGTGAGTTCGATCCCCGGTACCGATAAAAAGGAAAAAGACAAAAAAAAAAAACTGATAAGTTTGGAAGCATGACTCCTCTTAATTTCAAAATATATTACAAAGATGTAATTTAAATTATGTAGGACTGGCATAAACACATACTAGTTATGACTAAAATATATGGTGAATGTTATTAAAATTACTACAGAAAAGGCAGTATGAGCCTTAGAGGGGGGGGTAATAGTGTAAGGAGAGATTTTAATAAAGAAGTATGAGGGCCAGGGATTTAGCTCAGTGGCTTAAGTGCCTGCCCGGCAAGCATGAGGTCCCAAGCTCAATCCTTGATACAAAAAAAAAAAAAAAAAAAAAAAAAAAAAGATTTATGAATGGCTAATAGATGAAAAGATATTCAACATCAGTAGAAATTAGGAAAACTCACCAAGTGTACCTTTTCACACTTGCTAGGATGGTTATAAGAGAAATTAACAGGTGTTGGTGAGGCTGTGGGGAACATGGAATCCTACGTTGCTGGTGTAGTCATTTTGGAAACTGTTTTGTGGTCGTTCAGAAAGTTAAACACAAGCCTTCCACGGTGATGTCTTTGCTGTGAAGCCAGCTGACCATGGACTGGATGCCCTGAAAACGAGAGCCATGTAAAGCTCTCCTGTAAACTGTGGGTGTGGGTGGCGGGGAACGTGATGGTGAAGCTAATGCACTGAGTGTGTTACACATCTGATGGGTGGCCCACAGTGCAGTTCAGGCAAGTAAACGGCAGACACTCGTGTGCCACTCCCACTTACTGGGGTTGGTTATACCATTCAATCAAGTTACCAAGAAAGAGCACCGAGTTGTACACTTGGAATGAGCAAATTTTATGATACACATAGCTCAGTAGGCTGTATTAAAAGAAAAAGTAGTAAGTGGTGACTAAATGCAATACCTGAACCTAGGCTGCAGGAAAGAAAAATATCTGTAAGGACGTTACTGAGTCTGCTAATTAAATTGGCATACAGACGAGGGTAGATAGAAGTGTCCTTATATTAAATTTATTAAAGCTGATGACTATACTGTGGTTGTGTAAGAAAGCTACCCTGTCTTAAGAACTATATCCCCAATACAGTAAAGGATCACGATGTGGGTAACTGCTCTTCAGGAGCTCCAAATTATGTCTACATATAGGTAACAGCTACAAACGGTGCAGCAGGTGTGGCAGGAGGTTAACAGGTGAGTCAGGGCGTATGAGTTCCTTTGCAATAGTTTTATTCTTGTAAATCTTCTGTTTGACTTCTAACTCAAAATTCAAAAAATTTCTTGCTATGGTGTGTATCATGCAGTCATGGGGATTGGGCTTTTCAGAGGTTGCTGAAGTTTGGTTGATTCGTGATCCAATGCTAACATTATGAGTGTGAGCAGAATACCCACCCCAGGCAGGTCGCCTACATACAGTATACAAGACAAAGAGGCTTCTCTGTCTTCTCTTCTGCTTTTGCTGTCTTCTGCTGCTGTGAACTGTTGCCCCTCTGCCATGGAGCCGGCAGGTTATGGACTGAAACCTCCAAAAACCGTGAGCTAAATAAACCTTTCTTCCCTTAGCTCTGGGCATTGGGTATTGCGTCTTAGTAATCAGAGAAAAGTCATTAAGGCAGCTCTTTAATGCACCTGTGATATGCCTATCCTAAAAGGATCCACCCTTAAGGGGCCCTTTCCAATTTCATCTTCAAATACTCAAATGGACCCTGTGCTTTGGTAATTCTGATTATATTTCCACCCTCCACCCCTGTTCCTTCTGTCTCTACATAGTTTCCTTTCCATCTGGTTAACATCCTTTGCGTGACAACCTCTTTCCTTTTTTGAGACCGGGTCCTACTTTGTAGTCCAGGTTTGCCTTGAACTCACAGTGATGCTCTGCCTCAGTCTACCAAGGGCTGGGATTAAGTATGTGCCACCTCATCTGGTGAAAACGTTCTACTCATCTGGAAGACTCAGTGTCTCTTTGACAGGATGTAGGTTAACATGCTGGTTAAAACTAACCTTACACTCATTTAGACTCCTGAGCGAAGTCCTGCTCTGCAAGGAGGCCTCTCATTCTGAGGCAAGTTATCTTCTACTCCACGCCTCAGTTGTTCCATATGTAAAATGCAGATTAAAAACACTGACACACTTGTATGAGCGATGGGTGTACGTGCACGACAAAATGCACGTGAGCCATTTAGCAGAGCCTGGCAAGTTGAGCATTTACTCAGTGTTACCTGTGAGCCTCTGCCATGTCCCCTCATGTTCCCACCCTGGTCATCTTCACCGTGCTTAGCCACCTTCCACAGCCTCAGCACCCTGCCGTCAGCACCTAGTTCTATTTTTGTTTCCCCTGCTACAGCAGGAGCTTTTTGAAGAACAAAGAACATAATCCAGTCGCCTCTGACTTTTTCTAGCACCCAGTGTCATGTCCCATGCCTAAGAGATGAACAAGCAATGTTTCTTGCCCTCACAAGCAGTGAAGAACTTGTTATTTCAAAATTAGTGGTTTTATTTTTAGAAGTGAAAGAAGAGGTCACTATTAGCTTTCTGTCACTCCAAATGTCTGGCTCTGAAGAATGAGAATTACAGCTGAAGCCTATCTTACTCTGAGTTAGCCCTTAACTCATTTTGAGATGAACTAACAATTGGGATCTTTATGAAGGAAGTCAGGATAGGGAACTGCTTTTTTGTGGCTAAAATTTAAGTACTGAGAAATGGAAGACACAACAAGTTTAGACCAGTAGTGGCGAACCTACGGCACTGTGCTGCAGTGGGCTGTTGGAATCGATGGATAGCTCTGAAAGTTTGCCATCGCTGGGTTACAGTATTGGAGCCAGACTTAGACAGCTGGTCTCCTGTGGCCAGTTTACCCTGGGTGTCACCCAGGCAGCGCATCTGCTTACGTCCTGATTGTCCTGAACATCACTCAGGCAGCTGCATTTCAGCAGGTTGATTCTTGCATGGAATAAACTTAACTGTCATTGTTATATTTCCTGTTATCTTGTAAAAATCAAAGAGGAAAATATGCAATTTTTGGCCATTTTGTATTTAAATAATTGGACTGGTAAGTGGTTAACAAATTTTTTTGAGAGGCGCATTATGGGGCATATAATGCCTGTTTTTTTTAGAAGCATTTCTGTTGATGAATTTTTTTTAAATTTTATTTTGAAAGTATACAATAGAACAAGACAGAATAAAGCCAACTAAGATCGTACAGTGAAATTGGTACAGAACTTCAGAGCAGGTTACCGGGATAACAGTAACAGATATCACAGTATATTTTGTTATCTTTATAATAGTTCTTCTTTCAATCACGTATATCAAGATGAGATGAAATATAGAACATTACAGAACTTATTAAAACAGAATACTGAATAGAGCAGTACCATTAATCAGAAGAGAGAAAAACAGTAATAAAAATATTTGCCTTCAAAGAGACGGTAGAAGGAAGTCCCCCTTATTTGCTATGTCAACCTCCCAGGAGATGCTCAGATTTCTGGTTCCCATTTGCTAATGGGCGGTGGGGGCGGGAGGGAAGGGGGATAGGGGAATGGGATATTTGGCTCTAGGCCTTGCATCAGCATCAGTAGGTTCACTATTGCTTAGCAAGGAGGCAGAGTGGTGGTTTGGTTTCACAGCATCCTAAGTTACAACACGGCGTGGATCTCAGGAGCTGCTGCTGGTTCTCCCCCTGGAAGGGCCGCAGTTTGCCAGACCACCACTGCTTACCAGGGAGGGGAGGTGCTTGCTTCAATGAATTAATTTTGAGTTTTAACAGGAAAATGTCAATAAAGTATTAAATTTTTAATATGTAATGAGTTTATTTAGTTAAGTTTATCGGTACAATTTAGATATACGTAATGATGATATTCATCATAGGGAATTTGTACCTGGACATGATCTTGGTTTCTTTTTTCCCCTGTACCCTTCCCTCCCTTCAACCCCTCATTCTCTCCTTATTTACAAAGCTTTGTTTACATTTATCCTTCTTTTCTCACTTTGTTCTTATTTACACTTTCAGTTTCTCAAAGCACAGAGACAATGTGGGATTTACATGTGTGTCCAATTTATTTCACTTAGGAGTATGGTCTCAAGATGTATCTATTTACTTCAAAATGTCTGAAATTTATCCTTCTTTAAGGCTGAGTAGTACTACATTGTTTTAAAAAGCCACATTTTTCATCCATTCATGGGTTGATGGGCTGTTTCCAAGAATTTAGCTATTACAACTGTAATTTAGCTATTATAACTGTGCTGCTATAAACATGGGTATGATACATCACTGTGGTGTGATGCTGTTCATTCTTTTGGGAAGATACCAAGGAGGGGAATAGCTGGGTCAAATGGGACCTCTAGTCCTAGAATCTTTACACTGATTTCCTTAGTGGCTGCACCAGTCCACACTCCCACCAGCAATGGAGTAGCGTTCCTTTTCCCCACAGCCTCTCCACCATTTGTTATTGGTTAATGTTTTTTTTCTTGTGTCTTTTTGACACAGGGTCTCATTATGCGGTTCAGGCTGGTCTTGAGCTCACTTTATAGCCCAGGCTCGTCTTGAGCTTGCAATGATCCGCCTGGCTTAGCCTCCCGAGTGCTGGCATTACAAGAGTGTGCTATCACACCTGGCTGATTTCTTGATAGTAGCTATTCTGGAATGAGATGGAGTCTCAGTGTTTTTTTAATTTGCATCTCTTGAATGACCAGTGATGTTAAACATTTTTTCATATATTTACTTGCTGTATGTACTTCTTCATCTGAGAAGTGTATATTCATCCCAGATGCCCATATTTGGAGCTGAGAAAGAAATTAAGAAAACAACACTACTCACAATAGTATTGAAAAAAAACCGAGATACTTAGGACTCAATCTAACACAGTAAGAAATCTCTACTGAAAACTACAGTTCTCTAAAAAGGGAGACTAAAAACTAAAGTTATCTCTTGCTCATGGAAACGAAGAACTACATAGTGAAAATGGCCATACTTCCAAAATTGTGATATACATTTAATGTGATCCCCATCAAAATACCATTAGCATATTTCACAGAATTAGAGAACACATTCCTAAAATTCATTTGGAACCACAAGAAACCTAGAATAGCAAAAACAGTTCTGGGCAACAAAGCCAAGGCAGAGCAATCACAGTTCCTGACTTGAAATTACACTACAGAACTACTGTGATAAAGACAGAATGGTACTGGGAAAAACAGATCAGAGGCTCAATGGAACTGATCAGAGCATGCAGAAACAACTCCAAACACACTCATCCACCTTTCTTTTGACAAAAGAGCCAAACACGTTCACTGGAAGAAAGACAGACAGCCCCTTTAATAAACAGTGCTGGAAAAACTGGCTGTGCACATGCTGCAGATAGAGATCCATGTCTCTCACCATGCACTACCCTAAAGTCAAAATGGATCAAAGATCTAAATTTTAAAACAAACACTATAGCCTGCTGGAATACAGAGTAGTTAGAACTCTTGGAGACACAAGTATAAGCAAAGATTTCATGAACAAAACCCTGTTTGCATGGGAAGTACTACAAAGAATCAACTACTGGGATTTCACCTTATTAAAAACCTTTTGCATACCAAAAGAAACCATCAACAAGTGAAGACAGCCTACAGAATGGGAAAAATTTTTAGCCAGTTGTTTTTCAGACAAAGGATTAATATCTAGAACATATAAAGAACTGTAATGAGTATTTAGAATACCCACCAACATTTTCACATTAGCTGTGCACTTGCTTATAAAGCCTAAAAACAAGGGAAATAAATTTCTCTGTGAGTTACAATGAAAATACAAACTAAAGTTTAGCACAGAAATAAGCTTTGCTTCAACGATCACACCCAAGGCAGTCTTCACACACCAGCACCGCGTGTTCCATACACAAGTATCCCTTACACTGATAGCACACATGTTTTGTTTTCCTGTCCTTTTTTTTAGGGCATAGATGACATCTTTTTGGTTTTTCTACTGCCCTAGTAAGTCTTTGTGATGTTGCACCAGCCTGTTCACTTGCCAGCTCCATTAAATCTGTCTTGCGTAGTTCCTTGGGCAGAAACATCTTGTCTTTCTTCTGCTGCAGTTGTTCCCTTATAAGCTCCAGTCCCAATCCTCTAAGAAAATTTCTTCGTGATATTTTGCACTTGTTATTTTCTTTGTAAACTATGAAACTATTTATGCCAGACATGTTTAGGATGGAATAAAACACAATCATTGGCCAACGCTTTGTGTTTCGAGTGACATCATAGTTGCTACATAACTCATCAACAACATCAACTCCACCTTTGGTTTTGTTGTAAAAAGTTTCTATCTCCGGCTTCATTTGTGTCGAGGTATCTTTATCAATACTGCCATCATGGTGCAATGTTGACATCAGTAGTACCACTTTGTTTTTCTTTGCCATATAAGAAGCCAATGTTATGTCTCTCTGAAATCCAAAGATTGTACTATACAATTCTCTGTTTCGAAGCTGCAACATTTCATTGGGAATTTCTGCTTTGTTCTTGCGTATAGTTCCTACACTGGTCAGCTGGTGCTCTCTTAGCAAATGCAACATCAGCGGGTAACTGGTAAACCAACTGTCGAACGTCACATTCCGATTACTCTGGGAAATAGGAGCAACGAGTCTGTTAACAACATCATTTGGTTTATTACTGCATGAATAAGGACCTGGTGGCTGAGTTCCAGGATAAATTTCTAAATTGAAAGTGTAGTACGTCTTTGCATCTACCAGGGTATACATTTTTATGCCGTATTTTGAAGGCTTATTTGGCAAACACTGCTTAAAGCTGCAGCGACCATGAAAGGCTGCAAGCTGTTCGTCAATAGTCATGTATTTGGAAGGTGTGTAAACTGCTTGACAGTTTGACACAAAATTCTCAAACAATGAGCGGATAGCAGCCAGATTATCAGTTCTTTTTCTTTCCTGGCGGGTGGTTTTGTCATCAAACCTCAGACAATTCTGAAGGAAACCAAATCTCCTCAGAGTCATTGTTACTCTGCAAACCTCAAGCCCACACCCATCACTTCTCCACAAGTCCTTTACATTGCTGCGATTGGCATGAGAAAGCCCTGCCAAGTACAGCAGACCTATGAATGCCTTCAGTTCAGAGAGTGAGGTGTTATAATAAACACATTTTTGAGTGTGACTATTGGTGCACATAGATCGTTTTAGTTGTATTTCAGTATTTGTGTGTTTCACAACATCTTGTAGCATATCATCTGTGACAATCAATTTCCAACACTGAATCGCAGTGCTGGCATTCCGTCCAATGGGTTTCACTCCTGCCAAGAACTTGGTACTTTCGGACTTAGTTCTAACATTGGATTGTTCAGGCACGCGTGACCATTTTGTTGTATTCTGACTAGTCAAGTATGTCCTCACATTGATGTTTCCTTCATCATCTGAATCAAGGACGTCTGCATTCCCAGTGTCTGTATCACTCAATTCTTGCTCCATTTCACTGTTGTGGGATCTTTGGCTCAAATGGTCAATGTCAATGTCATCATCATCATCAGTGTACGAGTCACCTGATGACTCACTTTCTCCCTCCCCCAAAATGTGCAAATCTGGTTTTTCATGTGCCATTGTACTGAACTGGGCTAATTCTGTGAGAAAAATCAAAAGAGAACATTTTAAAAAACAAATCCCAAATGCACAGAAATTTAACGGCACATCACAAGGGTAAAACTCACCTGTTACTTCGGAGCTGCTGTGCACACCTTGCTGTTCATCTGCTGAGTGGGTGGATGCACAGATGGGTTCCTGTTTACCCCAGGCACAGGTACTGTGAGCCACAACAGCTACTGACATGTTGAAGCTCCTATTTGTGTTACAAAACGATGGCATGGGTGTATTTTACCCACCATGATGCCTCAGTAAGAGGCTGGGAGTAGAGGTGCCCAGCAGGTAAGCTGTATCACCCTAAGATGGTCGTGGAGTGTGCACAGGATGGTAAGTACATTAGGAATGAAGCAAGCTCTACAAAGGAGATAAAAGCTGATGGTTTCAGAACATTCAGTCTATAATTGTTTAGCTCCAAAGCAAAAATGGCTTGGCAGAAGGTCACAGTAGACTCAAAGCTGCTCATGTCAACGTGGCCAAGAAGCAGAGACAGAAGGGAGGAGCCAGGGATAAGAACATCCTTTCCAGGTCAGTGACTTGCCCCCTCCAACCTGGTTCTACCTCCTAATAGCACGTTCAGTCACGACCTCATCCATGGATCAATCATCACTGAGTACAGCATCCCCAAGATCCAATCACCTTCCAAAGCCCCACCTCTGAATACATCAGACTTAGGGGGAGACTTGAGATCAGACCACTAGACATGTTCATAGTTTTTGGGAAAAGGTAGGTACATTCTGGTCTGGCCAAGCCCACCTTTGTCTAGCTTAGCAGATTAACCACCTTTCTCTTGCTGAGATGGGATCCTCCAATCTTCCAATATACACTGCTGTCTACCAGTCCCTATTAAATGGAACTTTGTGCAATCCTAGGGTTGCCTGCCTTTCTTGTTCTTCTCTTAGCCTCTCCCACCTTTCCCAAAGGCTGGTTCTCAGATGTAAGACTGGATTTTTCAAAAACAGGATAAAAAATGTGGTATATACATATGTGGGACTATTACTTGGCCTGTAAAAAGACAATCTGCCATTTGCACAACATAGATGTCTTTAGAAGATATGATGCTGTGAAATAAGCCACAGAGCAAAAAATATTGCAGTCTCACCTATACATGGACTATTATAGCTTACACTCATAAACAGATACAGAACAAAATAGAGGTTACCAAGGGGCAAGAGGGAGGAAACTGGGGAGATGGACATCAAATGACACAATAGCAGATGTGTAGGAGGAACAAGTTTAGAGAGCTAATGTACAACATGAGGACTAAAGTTAACATGTCATCATGTTAACAGCATGAGTGCCTTCAGTTGTTAGTACTAATGCTGTACTGGATTTGTGAAGTAAGAGTTTAGTGGCTTTTGTCAGAAACAAGTAACTAGTAGCTATGTTAATTTGCTTTGCTAGGATCACCAGTTTATGAGCTGTATGTATCCTACATCATATTGTAAATCTCAAATATATACAATAAGATTTCTGGGAAGAGAGGCAAGAGCCTGAGAGGGGGGCACAGGAGTTAAATGCCCTCAATTGGGAATAGAGATGGAGTTGTGGGAGAAGCAGGGAAGCCACTTCTAAGGGGACGCATGGCATTCAGTGGCCAACGGGACAGCAGGTGGTAGACAGGAAAAAGAGGAGCACTCTTTGGATGGGTTCATCACAAAATGCGATGTCAGAGGCAAGAGCTGGGAGGCACGTTGAGGGGCGGGAAAACGGTAGGCTCGAATGTGCTAAGCTTCGTCTGAAGTATCTGGGGGGATCCCAAGCACAGGGGACCAGGAGACAGTTATAAACAGATGCCTGTGTTTAAGAAACACAGATCCACAAGGCTGGAGAGTGGGAGTGTGCATCCCTGTGTGGCAGCCTTGCTGGGAGTCTGCAGCAGACTTGCAGCTCTGGGGCTCGTAGTAAGTGTTCACATAAAGCAATCTGCTTACCTTTTGCAATAACAGTCACAACAATCTCAGACACTACCAGACATATATAGTATTAAGAGGGCACCACCCCATTTTCCCCCTCTAGCAGTGGAGTACTCCCTAAGGACTATGGTATTATGAAGGCCTCCAAGTCAGAACAGGTTCAAATCCAAGCTTCGTCATTATCAGGTAAGTGAAGGTTCACAACTGGCTTTTTCACTGAGAATCTCTGTATTTTTGCCTTTAGATAAGGACAGCATGAGTACCTTCAGTTGTTAGCAAGAGCTCACTGCATAGTGGTCAAGAACGTAAGTCCCAGAAACAGAGTCCTGCCAGTCATTCATTAGCTGTGCAACCCTGGGTAAGTTTCGGAATCTCTCTGGGCCTCATTTCCTTATTTGATTTCCACCGCACAGCATCGGAGTGAAGGTTTTATAAATTAATTTACCCAATGCACCTAGAACAATGAGGAACCTGGTAAAGGGTTCAGTGTATGTCAACTGCTATCACATGCAAAGCCATTTAACATAAGCAGTGTTTATTAAAACTGCTTAGAAGGATGATGACCATTATTACCATTGTTGCTATGGCTACTGCATAGCTTTGGAAGTATAAAACTTTCTACATGGAAAGTGTAAGAAAGCAAAGGCTATGAGGTGTGTGAAAGGGCGTGTTCTGCAGGTCATGTTCTCGAGTGAATGTATCCTGTCACTTCTATAGTGCTTCTTGCACTCTCAAGCATTTGGAGGGGAGGCTGCTGGCTGAGGTTAGACGAACAGTGCATTCCCAGCCGTTTGCCTCTTTGTGCAAGACCTGTGCTTGGGAAGTGTGGAGGGACGTCCCGCTTCCTTAGCAAGAGAGTTCAAGTAACTTCTACCCAGACTGGAGAACACCAGAGGCTTAGAACTCGGAACACAGGCTGCCACCGCGTTCTTCTCCCCAAAGCAGGTGTGTGATGCAGATGATCATTTTGAGTGTGTTTTCCTCATCTTCCTCCCAGGAGTCCTGTTACAGAGTTGCTAGACTTTACCTGGAACTTGTGACCTGGGAGTGTTCTGTAACTGAAAGGTATCTAGAAGACAACCACAAGTCAGCAGCTGGCACTGTGACAACTGCTGACAAGACTATCCAAGCTGTGATAAGTTTTTTCTAAATGCTTGAGATGAAAATATTGTTTGTAAAATTGTGCAGTGTTGCTAGAGATTTTATCTCACATTTTTCTAAGCCGTCCTTAGAACGCTTCCAGCAGGACATACAAACACATATACCTTACTATACCTTACTCAAACCAAGTATATGTTCTTGACCCTCAGGGACTATATCAACCACCACAAATTCAGCAGTAGGTGAAATATTGGTTGAATTTTCTGGGCTTTGCTGAGTGGTCAGTTTCTGGCTTTCTGCTTCACAAAGTTTACAAGTTGCTTACTAAAACAGGAGAGGTGGCATTTAATAGCTTATTGGTTTCCTACAATGTCAGAAATCATCGCTTTGGAGGAAGAAGAAAATTCCAACTTGCTCAACGAATCTCACCCTGTTAATGCTCCTGATTGCTGGAGGTCCTGTCCATGCTTCTCCATGCCTGTCACTAAAGACTGAGTGTTCACCTGGCTCTCACCCACTGCTGCTTTGTCAGGGCAAAAAGCTTGGGGCTCCGCTGCTTCCACTGTTTTTGAAGCCTGCTCCATGTGTGGTGTCTAGCAATGCTTCTCTGATACTGACTTTTGAAGTCTACAATTCTCTGCTTATAGGACAAACATAACGGCAGTCATTCCTTGCTCTGATCTCTGTGCCAGCCCTCTCCCCTGCCAAAGCACTTTTCCTCTCTGGACTGCTCCCTTGACCAGGATCATGCTTCCCAGAACTTCATTTTCTTTCTTTCTTTCTTTTTTTTTTTTTTATCAGTACCAGGGATCGAACTCATGACTGCGCGCTCGAAAGGCAGGCACTTATGCCGCTCAGCTAAATCCCCAACCCCCAGAACTTCATTTTCTATAGGGAAAAACAAAGCACAACCCCAAGAATAGGATGGAGGTGCAAATTCAGACTACAAAAATGCTTACTAGGCTCCCCAATGTCTGAAGCTACACTGGAAAAAAGACTTGTGGTCCTAGCAAAAGAATAATGATTCTATTGTAACTGTCACCTGACCAGGTTTGGCCAGAAGGGGAGGGAGTGGCTTTCCTGCTTCAGAAAGCTGTAAAGGGCATGCAGCTCTCAATGTGAAATGGTTGGAAGTAATCTGACAGAGGAGGACATCAGCGCCAAGATGGTAAGTGTCTGTAGAGGTCACTGATTTACGTTACAACTTCGCATACAACAGAGAATCTCTGATTTGAGAGTTCGAAAAACTGACTAAAAGTGTCTCCTCCAAATTCCTACGAATGGAACAAAAGTGAACATCTCTGCAGGGGAGAGGTAGTGAGCTCAGGCGTTTAGGGTGGGCCCTCATGAATGGGAACAGAGTCCGCACGCCACACCCTGTGATGCTCACTCAGCCCTTTGCCAGGAGAAAGCAGCATCTGTGAGCCAGGAGCAGACACCAGTCCTGCTAGGGCCTTGACTTTGGATTCCTGGACTGCACAACTGTGTTCGCATGTGTGAGTTGTAAGTTCTAGTAGTTTGTAAGACACCCAATTTATGGCTCTAGCAACTGAATGGACTAAAACCAGTAGCTACAGCATTTCTTCTCTTTGAGGAAATGAAATCACAGAAAATTGACTAGACTCAGGGACCATGTATATTGCACACAAAATTTTACTTGAAAAACAGGTTGTGATGACAGTAGTTGCACTCTGTGTGACCTTTCATTAATACAACTTGCAAAGAACTGAAACCAAGTGCTCACCTTTGCAATCCACGTCTCAGCTTCACCTCTCAGCGTTCTTTATTCCTTACCCTTTTTCCTGCTGCAGTGTTTCGTTTCTGCTTTGCATTTGCTGTTCCCTCTGTTAAAAATTCTCTTTTCTTCATAAATTTACTCATTCTTCAAGTTACTTTGACTTCTGTGTAATTTTCCTTTTCTTCTCCTAGGTTTTGAGTTTGCTGCAGTCTATCAGTCAATGGACTGTCATTATTTGGAGGAAAAGTCTTGTAATCCTGGAGGAGCACAAGCCGCTACACTCATGTGTATACAAAATTAAGAGAAAAAGACAAGATCAAAGCTAAAGAATGGATTCACAGTGCTCATTAATCCTTCAGTAGAGAGCAGGTGCTAAGTTTGAAGATGGGTCTGTGGCTTCTTTTACATATTTTCTTAATGATTTTTTTTTTTTTTTTTTTTGGTACCGGGGATTGAACTTACTACCTCGCACTTGCCAGGCAGGCGCTTATGGTGCTGAGCTAAATCCCTGGCCCTCTTTTACATATTTTAAAGCACATAAATTGGTAAAGATTCTGCATCCCTCAGCTACAGTAACTATAAAGCACTCACATAAGGGAAGCCCCGTTGGTACCAAGGATTCTCTTGTTGGACAAGTCACTCCTCTGCTTCCTGGTATATATGTTTTTAATAACGCAACTTTTAAATTATATTTACGGTTTTACAACCATCACCATATTTTAGTATGGATATTATTTTCATCATCCCCAATGCAGCCCACATTCATTACCATTCTCCCTCTGCTTCCTAATATCAGTTATCAGGGACGGTCCAAATACTGCTTTCAGTCCTTCGAGCTCCGCGGCTAAGTTCTGCCGCGCCCCTCCCGGCTCACCTGTGCAGACCCCTGGGGTACCAGCCGTCGGTGTCCACCACAGCGCCCGCGTCCTCTTGTAGCGAGAGGGAGCGCCCACGTGGTCCACCGCTCGCGCTGACGTTCCCATGCCATCACTTGCAGCCTGGGCCAATAGGAGGGCGCGCCGCGAGGCCCCGCCCACCACGACGCCGCGCGCGTGCGCTGGGACGCGCCGAGGGCGGGGCGTGGGCGCGCAGAGGTCGCCGTGCTGTGGTACTCGTGCTGTCCTGCTGCGTCCATTCCCGCGGCGCGCCATGGCCTTCGTAACCCGGCAGCTCGTACGCTCCATGTCCTCCGCCGCCGCCTCGGCCTCGGCGAAGAAGATCACCATCAAGCACGTGACGGTCATCGGTGGCGGGCTGATGGGCGCCGGCATCGCGCAGGTGAGCGGCGGCGAGTTCCTCGGCCCGGGCCCCGCGGTGCGTGCTCGGCAGCCGACCGGCGCGAACCAGGGTTGGCTCCCCGCGCCTGGGCTGCAGGCCGGGCTCAGCCCGTGACCGGGTTCGAACAGTTGTGTCGTCAGAGCCGCTCCTGCTCTCGGCGCCTCCTGCGCCCGCCCGCCCCGGTTCCTTCGAAGTCGCTGGTTCACCGAGTCCGATTGCGGCTGGTGCCTCTCCGGCTGTGTGAGGGCTCTCCGCGCCTTGGCGGCGCGAGGCGACGGCGACCTTCGGCCCAGTGTGTCGGCGCGCAGACCAGCGCAGTCCCTGTTGCTGGCCCCGCGCTGGAGAGCGGGAGGGGCGTGGAGCTCAAGGGCGCCGAAGCGCTCGGATCTGTCTGGTGTTCCATGCCAGCCGGGTTGTGGGTCAGAGTCGTTTGTGTAACTTGCGACCTGTGTGCTGTATAATGCCTGTTGTCTCTGTGCCTGTCTCTGTCTCTGTCGCTCTCTGCCTCAGTCTGCCCGCGTTACAGTCCTGCTGCTGTTGGAGAACCTTGATTTTTATTTAACTAGACGATTACATGATTATTTTCTTTAGGGAGCCTTTAGGGAGTTTGCAGCTTGCATTGTCGGGGATAGGGGAGGTGGTTATGGTTAAACTTTCTTGGGGAGGGTATCCTTGAGTGCCGTGGATATGTGCGTGAGAGTTTGAACTTTACTGACTTTTTGCCCAGGTCCACACTGGCACTTGCTTGTTTGTTTGTTTTTAATCATATGCTTGTTAAATTTCTACTCCTTGTTTTTTTCTTTTTTCAATTTCGTAACTTGATTGTGATGACACTAGATAGACTATGTCGACCTTTATAACTTGCCATCTCCCATTTGTTCTGAAATCGCATTTTTTGACAGACTTCTTTTTTATTATGTGAATCGCCTGGTTGCTGTCCTATGATATCCTCATAAGTACTGGGCCAAGAGAAGGAATTCCCTTCACCATAAAAGTTCTGCACATTGAATTCAAGAGAATGTTTGTTTGTGATACTTCTGTATCTGCTGCAATAGAATCTCCCAAGGATGTAAGGTTGAGCTTTGTTATGGAAAAGGTAAAACAGTGTATCTGTTTAAAAGGTTTAAAATTCTTAATAAGATATTGGGGCTTGATGCCTCCAGTAACAGTATAGAATAGGTCCTGGAAACTGTCTTGGATGATGTCCCTGAAGAAAGTGGTGGAAAAGAACTAGAAACAGTAGAAATGCTCTGGGCTTTTGTATAAACTCAAGTTGCTTTCTTCTCGGAATGGCGAGTCCATCATTGACCCCAAAAGCATGTTGTGTTGCATGAAAAGGAGCAGAGACAGGGCCTAAAATTACGAATATGGTATTGGAACTTAACGCCAAAGAAAAGAGAAATGATTGACCTTGATGGGGAATATAGACTTGGGGGTTCACTCCTTGAGATTTGTGAAACTTAAGGGAGAAAAGAAAGTTATATTCTTCCTAGATTGCAAGCAACTGTCATTGCGAAAGGCAGTAAAGCCTAAATGTGTACATAGCAGATAGTAATTCTATCCTTAAAGTAACACGGTTCAGAGAGTCTCAGTCACTTTAGGTGACAGCTGTAACACTGCTTTCTTTAAGACAACTCTGCAGTGTTTTCAGTGGTGCAGTACACTTGTTTTCATGCTAGCCGGTACAACTAGTTCTAAGTGGTCTCGCCTCATTTTTGTGCTCCTTGGTCAGCAGCTTTTGGCACAGGGTACTAAGTCTCTTGTGTACCTAGCACCTCTGACTTAAATTAGCTGATGTGCGTTGAGAAGGAGTCCAGTTCAGTGCAAGGCTGAATGGTCTGTGTTGACTTGGTCCCAGACTGTCTGTGGTAACTGCTGCACTTTGGTTTCCTTGTCTCTGATGGCCTGTTACTGACACTGGCCTGGTGGGATGGTGCAGAGGGCTGAATGGACCAGCACAGCATCTGGGGTGTTTGCAGGAAGAGCTCACAGAAAGTTAGCTGCCTTACCTGTGCGGGTCACTGTCCTGCCCTTACCCTATCTTGTTGGCCTTTTTGTGCTGTCTGCTTGGGCTCTTGGATAGGCGCATGATGCCCACATGGAGAATGGTGGTCATAGTCCCTGTTCCATCCTGCTTGATGGTGAACAGAGCACCAGCTGACACTGCACTGAGTTCTGGCCCTGTGCAAAGAGGGAGGACACCTTTCCCCTACTGCTCACCTCGTTGTCCCACCTTAGGACAAACTCTAAAAGGACAGCCAACTAGACTCTGGGTTCCACTGATATTTCACATTTAACTGAGCTCTTTAGTTTCAGTTGTAATCAAGTGACAGTTCTGTTTATAATTTCCATTTTTTAAAATTGTCATTTAAAAAATGTGTTCAAGTTAGTGCTGAGCAAGATAAAAAATACTAGTCAGTCTTGTAGGAACCTGATGCATTTCTCAAGCAATTACACAATTTGAGGTAAGTGAAGCCTGTGCTTAATGATATTTGACCAGAGTGCTGGCTGTTATTACCATGTGTATTTTCAAAGAGCATCTACTTTGCTGGTCGTTTCTTTTGCTTGTTTTAAATTTAAAATTCCCTGAGGCTGCAGGTAAATATTTCCGTGAGGTAACTTGGTCTCTGTGTGTGCCTATTATGTGCTTCTCACTTGCTTTTGGTTGCCAATTTATCTTCATTGGGATAAACAGGCCATCAGAAGGGCTCATCACATTAAATGAACCTGAAGTGAGGACAGATTGGTCTTTGCTTTGTAAGGATGAGAAAGGAAGCAAGGAAGCTCCTGGCTGTGCATTCTGCTGATGCAGCGGGTCCTTCCTAAGCCCCAGGTAGTCTGTGGCCTTGTTTGCATCTGAGGGTCCAGAAAGCTCACAGCCTTCATTGAAGTTCTGCAGAGGCACGGGCTCTGTGGGGGAGTCCAGGGGTTCTGGTACAGCCTTCTTTTTATCTTTTTGGGTTTGTTTTTATGAGTCCATGTTTATAGCACATGATGGTCACGTTCTTCGTGGGGAGTGAGTACATGTTCACAGCTCACCTTGTTTCCCCCTGCTCCCCACTTCCTTCCCGGGGCCTTGTTCCTCGGTCCTCTCCCAGTGCAAAGGCTCTGTCTCCCTGTCCCGTTAGGTGTAGCCTTCTTTTCAGCGCATTTCTTTTCCTTGGGAGAAGGCGGAGGTTTGCAACTCAAAAATTAGGGGTGACTTTTTTTTCATCCTGTCCTTTTAAAAAGCCAGAAATAAGCTATTAAAACAAATGGGGGTCTGGAGAGCATTTTAAACTCTAGGTGTACATTCCCTTCGCTTCCATGTGCCTTGGTGATGTTGAGTGAGCACCCAGGTGGACCGGGAAGCTTCTCCCACTTTGCGAAATAGCGCAGGCTTGCCAAGCACGGCCATTCTTGCACCCTCAGGGTGGGTGGGCAAATAGAACTGCTTTTCACTTCTTAGTCTTCTTCATTTCTGCCGTCCAGCGAGTTATAACCCTGTTAAACTTTGCTCAGAAAAACTGCAGAGACCTAGAAATGTCAGGGTCGCAGGAACCTGTGCTCACCTGCAGGCCCTCAGGGAGGGATGTTTTGGTTCCCGGCCATTTGCTCCTTCCTCAGGAGGGGATGCATCTGTCTCTTGTGAAGATCGTTCCTAATTTCCTGGGCAGTTGCTTAATTCCTTGTAGGACCTGCGCTGGCAGCATGTAGGGATCCCTTTCGTTGGCCTTGGGATGGTTTTGGAGAAACTGTCGGGTGTGCAGAGGAGGTGGGTAGTGCTGGCAGCCCAGCAAATGCTGTCATTGAGTACACACAGGTATCTTGCACTGCCAAAGTGGCACTTCACTCAGATTTGGGTTTTTCTCTGCCACATGTTAGATCCAGCTTTCTCTGTCCCCTGTCCCTGGGTTGAATTTCTGGTTTCCTCGCTCCCTCTGTCCTGTCTCATCTGCCTGAGTGACACACGCCTCCCTGCCCAGCTCTGTCGGGACCACAGGAGCATAATTCAGTGGGCTGCTGTCTCTCTTGGGTTCCCACCCACCCACCCTGGGTGCTGAAGATGCCGTCATGTGTGGGGGGAGTTCTACACTGTGTAGAGGGAAGTTCTACACTGTGTGGGGGGAGTTGTCTGTGGTCTACAGTGCAGCCCTCCTGTCTGGGCTGTGGGGGCTGTGGGTGAGGCACTTAACCCCTCGCTCCTTTCTGGGGATGGCAACACTCCTCACCTCTGTCCTGGGAGTTGAAGGTACTGCCCTATGTGTGCTCAGAGAGTGTCTTTATTCAGTAGTAATTCTCAGCAACTTCTAGCTGCCTTTATGTCAATCTTTCAGATCCAACCGAGTGGTTTATGGAAATTCTCAGCTCTGAAGGTGAAATATAGGGACTTTATCTAGTTTAAGACATTTTTAAATGATTGTCTGTGGACTGTTGAGAAAGATGGTAATCTTAGTGACAACTTTACCCTTGGAAAGCATTCAGAACAGAGCCTGGCACTTCAGCTTTGCAGACGTGACCCTGCTCTGTTCAGAGCACTCTGATGGCTCTCATGTGACCAGTGAGATTTGCCCAGTGTAATCATTCTGACCCTTGATCACCAGGGCGGAGCTGGGGCCGGAGCTAGGGGTCTGCCCCGAGCTTTGCCAGGCTCCATGCAGCTGCTGTGTGAGATCTGCATGGCATCTGTGGAGAGAACCCTCCTGGGTGTCCAGATGCCGGCTTGCCCTCTCCCAGCCCTGACTCTAGATCAGAGTCTCCCAAATACTGTGTCCCTGTGATCCCTGTCATCTATGTGCTGTCCTGGACTGGGGTCATCTCCAGCCTGAATCTGTCACCTTCCCTTTCCTCTACCGGCTGTGCCCCAGAAGTACCTTCCTCAGTTTTTGCCGTTGTCCTTCTGACACACACCTGATGAGACAAGGTCACTGCCCTTGGCCCACACCCTGAGCCTCTGTCACTTTGTTCTGTGCCCTAGGCCAGGCATAGGACTGGGATTGTTGTGGCCCCACTGCAACAAA